GACCAAGACGTCGACTTCGGCGAACGACGCCGACTCCCCTGCTGGCAGCAAGGCGCGGGATGACAAGACGGCGTCGTGCTCGCTGGTCGGCGTCGTGGAGCCGACCGTCTCGCTGGCGCCGGAGGCCGGAGAGGACTTCCAGGCGGTGGCGGCAGCTGTGCAGGCAAACCCGGCGGTGGTCCTGCTCGACAGCGGTTGCTCCCACCACCTGATGGGGACGAAGGAAGTCTTCGTCGACCTGCAGCCGAGCGGCTTCATCAAGCACGTGCGCGGCTTCAATGGGGCGCTGAAGGATGTCCAGGGCCGCGGCACCGTCGCCCTGCAAGGGGAGGCCGGGAAGCAGGTGCTCATCCCCGACGTGCTGTACGTCCCGGGTGTGCGGGCGAACTTACTGTCGTCCGGCCAGCTTAAGGAGCACGGCGTGAAGGTGCAAGAGGACGGCGACGGGATGGTGCTCGTCTCGGCAACGGGAGAGGTGCTCGGTCGGGCGACGTACTCCGGGCGTGTCCTCTGCACCGACCTGCGTCCCTGCTCAACAAGGTCGACGTCGCCCACGACGGAGGTTGTGGCTCTGCGGGCGATCGTCTCGAAGACGAAGTCGACGCCGGACCGTATGCATGCCGGCTTGCACATGTCGGCATGGACACCATACGGAGCTCGGCGAAGAACGAGGTCGCCATTGGGCTGGACCCCAAGTCGGCGACGGGCGCCGACTCCCCGTGTGTCTCGTGCGTCGGCGGGAAGCTGGCGCGGCACACCTTCCCCGACCAAGGCTCCGACGCCGACGATGTGCTGGCCGTCGTGCACATCGACCTGTGCGGGCCATTCCGCGTGGCTGCCAAGGATGACAGCCTGTACTTCTTGTTGCTGAAGGACCGCAAGACCCGCTACGTGTGGGTGAAGCCGGTCACCAAGAAGTCAGATGCGTTGCCGGCGTTTGTGCAGTGGCTGGCAGTGGCTGAGCGGCAGACGAAGAGGTCGGTGTTAATGCTGCGCTCTGACCGGGGAGGGGAGTTCCTCGGGAAGCAGTTCACCGACTTCGTGAACGGCAAGGGGATCGTCCACGACCTGACCTGCCCATACACCCCGCAGCAGAACGGCATGGCGGAGCGGGAGATGAGGACGGTGGTGGAGTCGGTGCGGACAATGCTGCTGCACATGGGCGTGCAGCACCACTGGTGGCACCTCGCTCTCCGGCAGGCCGTCTGGGTCCGCAACTACCTTGAGAGGTCGGCGCTGCCGCCGGGGACGACGCCGTACCAACTGCTGACCGGGAAGAAGCCCGACTTGTCGCTGGCGCGGGTGTGGGGCTGCATGGCGCAGTTCTTAGTCACCGAGCAGCAGCGTGGTGGGAAGCTGCAGCCGAAGGCCAGGTAGGGCCTGCACCTTGGCGTGTCGGCGGCGACCAAGGGCTGGGAGCTCCTCGACGTCGACGCCGACCGGGTGGTCACCACGTCGGATGTGGTGTTCTACGAGGAGCTGTCGCTGGCCGAGTGGAAGACGGAGTACGGGTCGGTGTCCGGCCGCTCGTCGCCCACCCCGCCCTCTGACACCTCGTCGGCGACGCTGCCACTGCTTGCCGAGGTCGGTGAGCTTGCTATTACGGACGTCGAGGACGTCTGCCCCCCTACCCCTCCCCCTCCGACCCCTGCCCCTCCCCTCGTGGCCGACCTGCGTGGGCTGACCTCGGTGTCGGCCTCCGGCGATGAGGGGAGTAGTGGGACGTTGCCTTCGGCCAAGTTCATCGCCGGTGGCCGACGTGACGAGCGGCAGGTCGACTTGGGATTGCAGTCGACGTCGACAGGGGAGGAGCAGGTCGAGAAGCAGGTCGAGGACCAGCGGCCGACAAAGTAGCAGACAGCAGTGACGCCGACCAAGGAGCAGTCGGCGACTGGGCAGTCGGCAGGGGAGCCGACCATAGGGGAGAAGTCGGCTGGAACGCCGGCTGAGGAGCAGCAGGACGCCGAGGGCAGCGACAACACCAACGATGGAGGGGACGCCGAGGAGGTCCAGCCAGGACCACGGCGTTCAGGCCGACTTCGGAGACCGCCTGACTTCTTCGTCCCCGCTGCCTTCACCACGGTGTACGACGTGGACGATGAGGCCGACGACCTGCTGTACGACAATGCCGAGGAGGATGAGGAGTTTCCAGAGCTCGACCCCGACATGCTAGCCGACCTCGAGCACCGTTGGGACATCTCGACGATGATGGTGAAGGAGGCGTTGGCGAGCTGGAAGGGCCCGGCGGTGAAGGCCGCCATGGAGGAGGAGATTCGCAGCCTCCTCAACATGGGAACGTGGGAGTTGGTTGAACGTCCGCCGGGAGTGAACGTCATGAAGAACCGGTGGGTGTTGACGACGAAGTACCACGTCGACGACACCGTCAAGCGCGAGAAGGCGAGGCTGGTTGTGAAGGGCTTCACGCAGGTGTACGACGCCGACTACGACGAGACGTTCGCGCCGGTGGGCAGCTACGTCACGCTGAGGATCTTCCTCAGCATCGTCGCCGTCCGCAACCTCAACCTGATGCAGCTCGACATGAAGAACGCCTTCTTGCAGAGCAAGCTCGACAGGGTGCTCTACATGTCCCAGCCGGACTACTTCAACGACGGGACCGGCCGGGTGTGCAAGCTGTTGAAGAGCCTGTACGGGCTAAAGCAGTCGCCGCTGCTATGGTACTTGGTGCTCAATGACGTGCTGGTCGGCGCCGGGTGGAAGAAGAGCCAGGTCGACGATGCTCTCTACTTCAAGGACGGAAAGGACGGAGTGGCTTGCTGGGTGCTGGTCTACGTCGACAACCTACTTGCCGCCAGTAGTAGCGCCGCGATGTTGAAGGAGCTGAAGGAGCTTCTGGAAGCCGCCTTCGAACTGCGTGAGATCTCGCCGGTGCAGAAGTACCTCGGGCTGGAGATCGTCCGCGACAGGTCAGCGGGGAAGCTGTGGCTGCACCAGCAGGGCTACGCCGACAAGCTTCGTAGGCGCTTCATCGACGAGGAGCAGACCGGGCGCACCCCGAAGATGCCGGTCTCGGTCGATGCCTACGCCGAGCTCACGTTCGATGACGAGGAGGCACAGGAGCGGCAGGAAGAGGAGTACCGGCAGAAGGTCGGCTCGCTGCAGTTCGCGGCGACGACGACGAGGCCGGACATCGCCTTCGCCTACAGCAAGCTGGGGAGCGGCCTCACGGTGAGGAGCGACCAGCACTGGCGCGAGGTCGACCGCTGCCTCGCCTACCTCGCCAATACGCGCGACACCGCACTGGAGTTCGGCGGTGGACCTGAGTCGCTGGAGCTGGTCGGCTACGTGGACGCCGACGACGCCGGTGACAAGCAGAACAGGACGAGCACGGGTGGCTACGTGTTCGTCTATGGAGGGGCCGCAGTCTCTTGGTCGAGCCAGGGCATCAAGTGTGCGACGTTGTCATCGACTGAGTCGGAGTACGTGGCAGCCACCGAAGCCGGCAAGGAAGGACGCCGACTTCGCTTCCTCCTTGCAGAGTTCCGGCAGCTGGATGCCGGGAAGCCGACCGTCCTTCGGGTGGACAACAAGTCGGCCATCACAGTCGTCGAGGGCATGGGGTTGACGGGCAACCTCAAGCACATGGAGCGGCGACAGGCTTGGCTGCAGCACATGGTGAAGCGCGGGAAGTTCTCGCTGAGGTACATCCCGACCACTGAGCAGCCGGCCGACTTCCTGACGAAGGCGCTGCACTATCCGGCCTTCAACCGGTGCTGCGTCGCCATCGGCCAGGTGCGCTTGGCCGACGTGGGCGACGAAGATGACAACGTGCAGCAGTAGGTGCCATGCCCTCTTGCATGGCTGGTGCGGTGGACGACGTGCTGTGTGTTGGGTGCACGTCGACGAGCTATTCTCCGAGGAGTACTGCCGAGTGGACTTGGGGGGGCCAAGCGTGAACGCGGCAGGGGAGTGTCAACGGGAGTTGTGTGTTGGCCCCGTCCACGCTTGGGCGGAGCCGACTTCGTGGTGGGATGTACGGAAGGTCACCGACTTTCAACGTCACCGACTTGCAAGGTCACCGACTTTGCAAGTCGGCGCCGACTTGGGAGGTCGCCAACTTCAAGAGGTCAGTCTGGAAGTCGGCGCCGACGTAGAAGGGGCGTCGACCTGGTGACGCCGACTTGGGTAGCTGACAACTGCACTGGTCGACCAGGAGTGACGTCGACCTGGATCTGGTCGACCGGAGGAGTGGTCGACCTGGTGAGGTCGACTTGGTGTGGTTGTCGACGTGGGAGGTCGACGAGCACATACAGGAGTCGCTGGTCGACATAGTTGCCCGGTCGACCAGGATACCTGGGTGACGAGGTTCTGCGAAGGAGTGCGACGGTCACCCAGGCGAAGTTGGCGAGACCGACCTCCATGGTGATATCCCGAGGTCGTCGTGGCGGATAAGAGGCAGTCGCTAGCCCGAGGTTGACGTGGTGTGTGCGCTGTGCAGGTGACGAGACTTTGCATGCCAATCATCTGCGCGCACCTGCAAAGCGGGTGCACTGCTGTCCTACGTGAGCAATGCTGGCACGCCGTCAACCTGCAGCGTTGGCAAGCTGTCGACTTTGCTCTGCTGTAGCGTGGTCGACCAAGTCATGCTGGAACGCGGTCGACCATGCTGTGCTGGTGGTCGACCAACCTGAATGCTAGCTCTGATGTAGCCTTGCATTGCCAACTTCATTGTACCATTATTGACAACTTTCTCTAGTGAAACTCTTGCCAAATTGCCCCGTGAACTAGCAAGTAGTGTGAGCACTAGGAAAACGTCTAAGGACCAACGAACGCAGACATCACACGAGCACACGTGCCTAGCCAGTACTCTACGCTCCCGTTGTAGTAGTTATCTCCGCAGGAGGAATATGTCGAAGTAGTCTGCTGCGGAGTAGCTGGGGGGGAGAAATAAGAGGAGGAGAAAGAATCAGCGGAGTAGTCTGCTGCTGCGCCGCTGAGGGGAGAAATAAGAGGCGGAGGAATATGGGCGGAGTGGTCTGCTATTACGCTGCTGAGGGGAGAAATAAGAGGCGGAGGAACAAGGCGGTGTAGTCTGCTGTTGCGCCGCTGAGGGAAGACATAAGAGGCGGAGGAATATGGGCGGGGCAGTCTGCTGCTGCGCCGCTGAGGGGAGAAATAAGAGGCGGAGGAATATGGGCGGAGTAGTCTGCTGCTGCGCCACTGAGGGGAGAAATAAGAGGCGGAGGAATAAGGGCGGAGTAGTCTGCTGCTGCGCCGCTGAGGGGAGAAATAAGAGGCGGAGGAATAAGGGCGGAGTAGTCTGCTGCTGCGCCGCTGAGGGGAGAAATAAGAGGCGGAGGAATAAGGGCGGAGTTGTCTGCTGCTGCGCCGCTGAGGGGAGAAATAAGAGGCGGAGGGAAAGTGTGAGAAGGAGCACGACAACGAGACAAGGTCAGCAACCAACTGCGGCAGAGGGAGAGAGGAGAGAGGCGGAGGAGAGAGCAAGATGGGGAGGGGAAAGTAGGGAGAGAGGAGAGGAGGAGGAGGGTGAAGGGGCAGATTGTATGGCGAAGGGTCTTGATAGAGGGGAGAGGAGTGGAGAGAGGCACAGCCACCAGGCGAAAGCAGCAGCCAGCTGCTGCAGCTGAGGTGAGATAGGAGGCGGAGGAAAGAGGAAGGTTGTAGAGGGAATGAAGGGAGAGAGAGGAGGATGAGGGGAGTGAAGAGACGAATTTCGTAAAAGGGAATGGTGATGGTGAATAGCAGAATGCAGAAAGGCGCGCATGGGGGGGGGAGGAGGCACGCGACAGCGGCGCAGTAGTAGCGCGCGACGAGGGGAGCGAAGGGACGCGCGGGTGAGGGACGAGGGGCAGGCAGAAGCGGGAAGAATGACGCGCGCGACGGCAGTATGGGCCGCGCGCGACGAAAGGGAGGAGGGAGAGAGGGCGCGCGACGAGCAGCGGGTAGCGCGCTAGTGCTGAGGGAGATCGCGAGCTACTACGGAGGGCGGATCCGCGATTTGGGGAGAAAGAAAAAGTTCGAGCGAAAGAAAAAAGAGTAAAATCGACTAGCTAAGGGGTAGCGCGGAATAAGCTTAGGGGCCTGGAAGGTTCTAAGAAATGTAGATGACAAGGAGACGCCTATGATTTCGCTATGAATACCATGTTGATGTTAGGTTTGCGGCAGCCATGGCTAGTGAGTGAAGTAACAAAGTTAAACTAGAGAAAGAGTCGAGAGACATTTGAAAGATAGGGTTGGGAAACCCCAACTGAACATAGGGCGTGTTCAATGCAGAGACAAACTACCAAGTGAACCTGAGATGAACCAGAATTGAAACTAAGTCTAAAATTGGCCGAAAAAATAATATAAGGCCAAAAATAAATGCAGAGCGAACACTAGCCTACTCCAACATGTTATGCCTTACCTGCTTGTCTCTTGATCTTGAACTTGTTGTACATTAATATCTTTTTTTATACCTGCCTGTCTACTCTTGCTAGGTTTTGATCAGTGCACTGCCTTGCTATTATAACTCTTCATGTGAACTTGCCTTGTGGCCGCTTGCTTGTGCTCAAAATGAGTGGTGATCTTGAGATCCACCCTGGGCTTTTCATTGCTTTGTTCTCTTGCCTGACTGGTCTTGTGGCCGTTTGTTGTGTTGGCTATCCCTCACTTTGCCTAGGGGGGTGTCTCAAAACATATTTGTATGTTCTTAGTTCTGCTAGGCTACAGTGAGGTGCTCAGTATAGGGTACAACCCTAGTAAGGGTTTCATACTTGTATCTCCCCGTTGCTAGTCATTCATTATTCCTATCTTCCTACTACAACAATAAGGTGGTGTGGATGCTTCAAAATGAGTGCTAAAATTTATCATATAGCAATAGAGGCTGATGGGGTCGTTGAAACAGCAAAATTATGCTCCCCCAAAGACGATTAACACCCTCCAATTGCATACATGACACATAATAAAACCACACTTAAAAATGCACATACCACAAACACGAATGCACACGAAAGTAAAAATCAATAACACCTCGCGGACGCACGTACACAGACACATACAATACATATGTCACTTGTGATCATTATATTCTAGGCTATAGTGGGGTACTCACTAGAGAGTACAACCTGTTTAGGGTTACATACGTCCAATGTTAGGCCCGACGGCCTAAGTCCGCTAAAGAATTAGCGGGGTCGACTAAGTCGAGGATGAAACGCGGCGGAAGACTTTGGCGAAAGAACTATTGGCGAAATAGGCGAAGAAGTTACTGAGTAATTGAAGAAGAGTTGAATGAGAATTGATTGATAATGGCAAGTACAAGCAAGGTTTATATAGCATGCAAGAAACAAGGTTGGAAAGTGGAATGTGGGACCAAGAATTGGAGTGCAAGAAAAGTAGAGTGCCACGTGGCACTAGAGAATCTGAGAAGATAAGGATAATGGTGACTAGGAATGTACAGTTCGGAATGAACAGTAAACACCCCTCTAACACTACCCCCCGCCCAAGGAGGCGACGTCCGCGGCGCCTGCAGACTGAAGGTACGCTTGGAGGCAAGCGTTGTCAGGAGACAGCGAGGACGAAGGAACCCAGCTGTCGTCTGCTGCGTTGTAACCACGCCAACGAACCAAGAAGTCGATGAAAGTGACACCCCCCTGGAGACGGCGACGGTGCCTGAGGATGCGCTGGATCTGGTAGTCGGGCTCGTCGGTGTCAACAGCTACCGGCAGTGGAGTGCGATCACGGCCCGAGAAGGTGGCATTGGGATCGGTGTATGGGCAAAGGAGAGACACGTGGAATGACGGGTGCATGCGGAAATGTGCGGGAAGGCGAAGGCGGTATGCGACTGGACCAAGTGCGCGCTCAATGACGAATGGACCAATGAAACGTGGACGAAGCTTGTTGTCCTGTGGCAGTCGGAGGTTGCGGCTATCCAAGAGAACACGGTCGCCGACTGCGAACGACACCTCACGACGACTGCGGTTGGTGGTGCGTGCCATGCGTGCATTTGCGAGCTCAAGGTGCTTCCTCACGTGATCATGAATGAAGATGAGATGCTGGTGGAAGTTGTCCGCACGAGGGACTGTGGGTGTGAGATTGACACGAGTGGGGACATTGGGGTGCTGACCGTAAAGTGCAAAGAACGGTGACATGCCTGTGGCGGAGTGGTGCGTGTTGTTGTAGGCGAACTCTGCCATGCTCAGCTTCTTGTCCCATGCGGCTGCGTCGTGCATCGTGAAGCTGCAAAGGATCTGCTCCAAGGTCTGGTTCACACGCTCAGTCTGTCCGTCTGTCTCTGGGTGGTACGCAGACGACATGGCTAAGCGAGTCCCAAACAGTGCGAAAAGCTGCTTCCAGAACTTCGAAGTGAAACGAGGGTCGCGGTCTGAGATGATGGAATCTGGAACCCCGTGCAGTCGGACTACGTTATCTACGAACAGCGTCGCGGCTTCCTCTGCTGTGACCTTGCCGTGCGTGGGGATGAAATGCGCTGCTCGAGAAAACTTATCCACTACTACGAAGATGGCGTCGTGACCCCTAACTGTGCGCGGTAAAGCCATGATGAAGTCCATGGTAACTACCTGCCAAGGGTGGTCGGGCGGTGGAATCGGCTGCAAGAGTCCTGCTTTGCGCTGGCGAGAGGACTTCGTACGCTGACACGTGTCGCACGAGCGAATGTAATCCTCTACGTCTGCTGCAAGCCCGGGCCAGTAGTACGTGCGACTAAGCGTCTTAGCCGTCTTATCTGCTCCGAAGTGCCCTGCACTAACTACGTCGTGCGCCTCTGAGAGAAGGAGCTGTCGAAGAGGGCGGTAGGCTGGAACCCAAATCCGTGTGGTACCCTTCCGTATGTAGACACTACCCTGCACCTCTGCTCCTGCGGGCGGCTGCGGTGTGAAGTCGGGATCTACTGTGTAACCGTGCTCGAAGAGTGCTGTGAGAAGTGGGTGGCCAGCAGTGACTGTGAGACTGGCGAGTTGACAACTAGGGCGAGTGAGCGGATCTGCTGGGTTGCGCACGCCTGGCTTGTACTCTATCTTGTAGTGAAAGCTCCCTTCCATGAACTCCATCCACCTAGCCTGGCGACGACTCAGCTGCGGCTGCGACTTGAGGAAACGAAGCGAACAGTGGTCCGTGCGTATAACACTATCTGCCCCCTCTAGGTAGCACCTCCACACCTTATACGCATGGATGATCGCGAGCGCCTCCTTGTCGTGTATGGGATAGTTCAACTCCGCTCCCCCAAGCTTACGCGACCCGTACGCGATCGGCTGCAACCCGCGTCCCTGGTCCTGAAGAAGCACTGCTCCTATGGCCTGATCGGAAGCGTCGGTCACTACAACGTATGGGCGAGTGGGATCAGGGTACGACAGTGTCGGTGAAGACGTGAGCGACTGCTTCATCTGCTCGAACGCCTGCTGCTGCGCTGGACCCCAAACGTACTCTACGCCCTTCCGAAGTAGGTCGGTGAGTGGACTAGCGATCGATGCGTAACCCTGAACGAAACGACGGTAGTAGTTCGCGAAACCGAGGAAGCTTTGCAACTCCTTGACTGAGGTCGGTGCTACCCAATCCTGTACTGCTGCGATCTTCTTCGGGTCAGTCCTAATGCCACTAGCGGATACGACGTGTCCTAGGAACTCGACCTCTGGAAGGAAGAACTCGCACTTCGACTGCTTAGCGTATAACTGCTCCCTGCGTAAGACCTCGAAGACCTTCTGCAAGTGCTGCACGTGCTCATCTTTCGTCTTAGAGAACACTAGGATGTCGTCTAGGTAAACGACAACGAACGACCCTAGGAACTCGGAGAGGACTGTGTTCATGAGCGTCTTAAACGTCGCTGGGGCGTTGGTCAATCCGAACGGTAGAACCCTAAACTCGTACAACCCCTGCTTCGTACGAAACACCGTCTTGTGCTGGTCCTCTGGAACTACTCGAATCTGGTGGTAACCCGAACGAAGTTCGATCTTTGAGAAGACTCTAGCGCCCTGCACTGCATCGAGAAGATCCTCTACTCTCGGCACCGGGAATCTATTCTTGACGGTGGCGGCGTTCAGTGCGCGGTAATCTATGCACATCCGTAACCCTCCGTCTTTCTTGGGTGCGAAAAGTATCGGTGCGGCCCAAGGCGATCTAGATGGCTGTATGAAACCCTGTGCGAGAAAGTGCCTAACTTGCTGCGTCATCTCCCCTGTCTCCGCTGGACTCAACCTCCACTGCGGCTTCCCTACTGGCCTGCTCCCCGACTCCAATTCTATTCGATGGTCTACTGCTCGGCTGGGAGGCAACCCTGGGGGCAACTCGTCGGGGAAGACGTCTGCGAACTCTGCTAACAGTGCACTCACCTCAGCAGGAAGAGTCGCCTTCTCACTAACTGCTGCACTCCCTCCTTTCCCCTCCTCAGCTTCCACCTCCTCAAGAAAAACCGCGAAGATCCGTGCCGCACGCTTCACTAACTGTCGCACACGAACAGCATTAATGATAGCTGTGGATGATGTGGCCCCATCGCTCCACTGTGGCAGCTCCCGGAACTCCCCGTCTACCTTGACGCTGCAGCTTCCCTGAGCCCAATCGAACTGAGTACTAACCGTCCGTAGCCAATCTCTCCCGAAGATAAAATCGTATCCGTCCAGCGTCGCAGAGTCGAAATCACGCCTGACTGTGATCGGTCCTAGCACTACGCGCAACTTACGGATGATCGGTCCTATGTGAAGTGGCGTCCCATCTACCATGCGAGCGTCCTTGAAGTTGACTGCTGAATCTGCTTCAAGATGGAGACGAGAAACTAACGATGAAGAGACGAACGAGTGGCTAGCTCCGCTATCTACGAGAATCTTAACAGGAACTCCGCGAAGCTTCCCTAGAAGCACGACTGGACGATCAACAGTGTCTACCTCGTTCTCCGTAGATGACTGCTGCAAAGCCGTCTCCTCTACGTTGGTAGACGTGGCGGGTACGGGAACCTCCACACCAGCTAGCGACCCGCTATCTACTGGCGGTTTCCGTTTCCCTGCTGCCGCTCCTTAAGCTGTGGGCAGTCTCGCTTCATGTGTCCCGGCTTTTTGCAGTAGTGACAGTTCCCCCTAAATCCCATTTTCTGTGAGCCGTCACTGTTAACTGCACCAATCTCCGTGGGCGATGGTCCGTCCCTCGATCGAGCGTCGTTGATCGGTCTGTTGTATCCCCTATCGCGAT